CACACACACACACACACACACACACACACACGGAATGCTGCGTGAAATTTGTGAATGAAAACATGTTTGCGTTATTTCTAATAAAGCGCCATAAACACTGAATTAGCAAAGTTGCACATAAGTGCCAAAAAAAAACTCATTTTCTTGTGATATTCATTTATTGGTATATTTACATTTAACCCAAAGTGAGAATAAAATTATTTAATGAAGTTCTTTTTTTTTTCTTTTATTTCCATGGACTTCCTTGTTTGCGCTTTTGGAGCTGCATCTATTGTTTCAGGGGGTCACATTTTGCGACTCAAGACCTAAAAAAACAGTTTGACTCTGCAGACATTTGTATTATTCTTGTTGTTTTCTGTTGTGGTTCTGTGCACCATGTTGTAAGCTTTGACTGAACTAGCTTGGACGATGTTATTTTTGATTTTAGACATGTTTTGTTCTGTTGCTCTGTTGGACAGCATTCAACGCGTCTGAACAGTTCAGCCCATTAAAAAACCTGCGGTTTTGTTTTTATATAAGGGCAGATTTTTAAATCTTGTCTTGTTTGAGTGACTTTTCCCTGACGGGCTCAGAATGGAGCAGAAATTAATTTCCTAAGTGAAGCAGCTTCAGTGGAGATGCTTGAGGAGCTGCTGGGGAACGAGATGCTTTCTAGATTAAACTCTTATTAAAATCTGTATTTTCCACTCGGGTTGCAGCTCTGATGCTTTCTGACGTCATCCAGTCTTGGTTGTGTTGCCTTGAGCGAATGCTTAATGTTTGTGCTTTCCTTTTTTATTTTTATTACTTGATTTTTTTAAGAATACAATTATATTTCAAAGTTCTTGCTGCAGGTTTGCTTTCAGCCGTCCAGGATCAATCATGCACGCTCAATAGGGGGCACTGTGTGACACGCTCCTGAAGTGATGCACTGTGGGGGCAACGTGTCTGAGCAGCCTGCAGCTCCTTAATTGCCTCCCAAGATTTTTGCCCCTCGTTTTGTAAATTTATTATTTTTAATCCGCGAAAGGAAGTCATCACATACCCCATTTTCTATATGTTTTGCACTATTAAAAAAAATATATATATATAATTCTTACTTTAAATAATAAAGGAGGGCTTATCTTCACATGTTCTGTTTACAGTATTTGGAAAAAAAAAAATCGTTCAAGGGTAGTTTGATTGAATTGCGCGATTTTTTTAATAGAAAGTGCTGCTCAGAAAGGTTCATCTTTGTGGTAAAAAGTGAAACAGTAAACATCCGTTTTCACTGCCATGTTCTGTCCTGTTGTATTCCTTTCTTTGACCTGTGGAGCTGACTCCGCCATCCCTCAACCCGCGGAGGTCATTTCCGGGTGAGCACAGACTTCCCTTTGTCTGAGTCCAAATAAGGGACAGAAAACCGCATTATTTATAATGTGAAGACAAACACGTGATTTTCCTCCCTTTTTTTCCACATGGACTGCTCACCATAATTCATTAAAGTCCAGGGATGTTCGGTTATATTCTGCAAGGAAATACCTAAATGCTTGTAAATCTAATTTTTATGACGTGAAAACGAGTCGAACTGAATTATGTCTGAGTTCTGCAGGATTCCGCACATGTCAAAGGATTTTGGACATTTTTTTTCTAAATATACAAGCAGAAAAAAAAAAATAAGAAGATAATTAAATTCAAATAAAATTAATAAAAAATAAAAGAATAAGACTGTTATTGTTTGTATGGTTTAACTCTGATGATGACAACGGAAGGGAAAAAAAATATTAGACTCCCTTTGTACATTTAGCAATTTTTAAAAAATATTTACTTTTCAATAAGTTTAATCGTTTGGATGCTTCTGAATAGTTAAAATAAATATAAGTTGGTAAATAGATTATTTATTTTTTTGTATTTGTCTGTTATAGAGAAGTTACAAAAAATAATTTAGAGTTTCTAATTTTGTGATCTAATCTATTTGTAGCAATTATTTATCAATTTAAATTTATTTTTATTATCCTGTTCTCACAAAAAAAAATACATTTTTAAGGATATTATTAATTAAAACACCTTTTCTTCTTGTTTCAGACACTTCGGCTCAACATGAACGCGCCTGTGGATTTATCAGTAAGTGTGACGCATCAGTACAGTTTAAACTTTTATGGTGAGTTTTTATTTAACTGCTTTGATTTTATTGGCTGAATTGAAACATTTATCTTATAACAAATGTCCCAATTTGTACGTCTTTGACGAACAAGTCGTCAGTTTGAAGTTTAAAATTTAAACCATCAAAAAAAAACAAAAAAAACATTTAACACCGGAAGTCGTGTTGCAAACTTCTGCGGTCTAATTAAAAGCCGGAGAGGTGAAACGGTACTTTATTTAAAGAGCCACAACGTCGCAGTAAAAGGCAAGCAGCGGTTTATGTGAGAGTTTCTAAAACCACCACTGCTCCCCTGGCTACACTGCGCTCCAAATCAGCATTCATATCCAAACTAGTCTCCAGCCTGTCTGCTCTTCATTATTAAAACTTTTTTTTATTATTATTTTAACTGGACCATCCAGTCTAACGTTATTACACATGGGGAGAGTAAACGCGTAAAGGCTGTTAGGTTAAAGGGCTTTGATTAAAAGCGCATCTTAACCACCTTCATCAGGGAGCAGAACCGAGCTGCACCGTCAGGTCAGCTGCAGACTTTACACAGTTTGCGTCCTGATTAATTCTGTTTACATATGTACACGTGTGAACACGCTTGTACGTTTGGGGAGAAGGAGGTGGAAGAAAGCTTAACAATCTCTCAAATGAACAAATGAAACATCAAATTGGTCTGCCCGAGGCGCTCATTTTTTGTACTTTTACATTATAACTAGTTATCGAACTAGGTGCACGATCTGAAAGCCATTTGTGGAGGCAGAGAGAATTCATCGCTGTCCCTCCATCAATAATCCTTGGCAGTGAACTATTGGAGGCAGTCAAACGCACGGGGTGAAACGCGGGTCAGGCTGTCTAACTAATATTAAAATGCGTTCTCCATGAGCGCATGGGGCGAGGAGGGAGTGCGTGTTGTGCGTGGAGCTCTTTCACACCGGCTGGGTGCACAACAACTATCATGTATTTATGATGATGACAAAGCCAAAAGGACGCCACTTCTGCTTCTGATCACTGCTTTTGCTTTTCTGTCTCTCTTCTTCTCACCCCCCCCCCCCCCCCCCCCCCACACACACACCCCCACACACACACACACACACTTTTCCTGTCTTTGGATATTTAATTTTTTATTCAATAAGATAAAAATCTATACTCGTGCACAGGACGCGCATAAAGGAATATGCAGATGAAGATTTGTTTTCGCACTCTTTCAAGTCCCATGTGCGTCTCCACTGTAATCAATTCCATTGATTCACAATCTGAGCATGTTTGCTGTTTTTAATAACCCCGAAGCAGGTCACATGTCCGATATTGCATTTGTCATCCGAGGCTTTTCTCATTAGCTTCCAGAGTGTCAGGAAGAAAGGTTACCGAGCGGTCAGTATGGTAATAGCGAGCAGAAGAAACGGTTGGGAACAATAGAAACTTATTTTTCATCTGCGCTGTCACGCCGTCCTTTTGTATCTCCGCCGTGTTTGTGGTTGAATATTCATATAGGAGCTACCTCAAAGGCAGGGAGCTGAGAAAAGGCACCCTCTCTGTGTTCCTCTGGGTGTGCGTGTGCAGATATTTATAGAAACAACTATTAACAAACAGCCTTCTGTTTATAGTAGAATCAGCTTTTACGCACGGTTTGGGCACGTTTCTACAGTGTTTACATTTGCTCCTTGCACGCCACTTCGACTTGATAACCTGCTTGCATAGATGCCTCCCCCCTCCCCCCCTCCATCCCCCCATCCAGCCGACAGATCAACTTCTGAAAGCCATTAGTTGTCTATATGTACCCTGTAGAACCGAATTTGCGTGCAGCACAAACAATCGCAAATGCGTCTCTACAGGAATACATGGGCGACTGAAAAACCTCGTGACTGGATTTTTTCTGCCTCTGCTCTTCTTCTCGGCCTTGCCCCCACCCCCACCCCAACCCTGTCCTTCTTCTCCGTGCTTTTGCATGCGCAAGCATCAGTGATGATAGCCCAGGCAGTAGCGATGCAATAACCCTGTCACAAAGTTTATCCATAATCCCACACAGCCGCGGATGTTGCGCGCGCAGGCCACAGAACGTGGGGCCATGCGCGGCTACTACTGTGTCAGACCCTGTAAAACACGTTAGGAACCAGGGGTCGTTTAAAAGTGACTGATTTACAGCTTTTATTGCTCTATAAAACGCCTCTAACATCCTCGGCAGGGGTAATAGAAATGTCGTGAGCATTCTTTACAAACACTGGAGCCAGAAATATGATAAGCAGTTTCACATCGTTTTCAAACTTATTATATGATTATGGTGTGTGGAAATAGATCCACTGACTATGTGGTGCTATATAGACCAAAATACTGCCTTGTATAAACATTATTATTATTATTATTATTATTATCATTATTATTATTATTATTGTTATTCTTGTGTTACTGTGCTTGTGAAGTCAGGCTCTCAGGTTTCTTTGTCTCTGATCTGAGTGAGATAATGGGAAGCCAACAGCACATGACAAGTTTACACAGCATCAGCTTACAACATTAAAGCAGGCCACAAGCAATGTGACTCATGCTCAGGGCTTGAGACAGGATTAGCAGGGAACATTTGAAAGCTGCTTCAATAAGCTGCGATGAATTACTGCCACATATTTAAATGGTTGAAACGGTTGAAAATAAAGCACGTGCATAAGGGATAACATGGATGTTTGTTAAAGCATTAGCTTTACATCATTTTGTGCTTATTTAGCATCAGTCACTCTTTATGTATTTTAACAGTTTCCTTCATATGTTTTTTTTTTCTGCTATGTATCAGAATGTCAGCCTCCACCATGGAGTTAATTTACACATTGTTAAAGCTAACATGTGCAAAAAGTGGCATTTAGGTACTTTTGTGGGTGTGTGTTTTATGTACATAATTTGAGCCACAAAGAGAGAAATAAAATACAGCCAAGAAGAGTTTTGTCAAAGAAAGTTAAGTCTGATGGTGCATGTTATTTTCTGTTAAAACAGATTCTTGCTCAAAAACATTCTGGCACAACCACTTTTAGCTTCAATAAATCTGCACTTCCGTCTGATCATAGTGATCTGTAGCTCTCTAATTTATTTAAGCTCTATCATAGTTTCAATCTTGGTTGATTATAGTAACTTGATGTTGTCTTTTGTTGTCATAGTGGTAAGCTTTCTGGTTTCACTCCTGAATTATGATGGATCGAGTTTTGAAAACAGTTTTGCTGCTATTTCGTAACAGTTTAAAATAAAATCCAAACTGTTGCAACAAAGTGTTTTTATTTTATTTTAAATAGGGGTTGTTATAAGCTATAAGTTTATAAGCATAAGTTACTTTACAAGCATGTTGACTTGTCTGCTTTGTTTTGTTGAGCACATGTAGAGCGCCCCAAGATAGTTAATAACATCTTGCTCATAGCATCTGAAGATTTTGAGCTGTTCCAGTTGATTTTGGCTGCTGTGATATTCACAGCAGCTGTTGATGAAGACGCCTGGCGTAAATTCATCAAAGTGTTGGTGTTTTTCGTTAATTTCCTTTACAAATGAAGGCCACGGTTTTTGCTGAACTAAGACCAAGGTTATAAATGCAGTAATAAATATAGTTTAATATAGTTTTTTCAAGGCAGGATGTCTGTTAAAATACACTCTTTTGGAATATTGCAAAATGATCAAACTAGTTATGAATATTTAGCCACACACTTGCATCCATCCCACCTTTTGACACTAGTAATGACATTTTATTAAATATTAGTGCAGTCTCAGATCTTCAGGAGGGATTCAGGTTGTAATTCCTAATGGCTAGTAATCTGTTTCACAGCTGAACTGATGCTGATAAAGACTGTGCTTTCATTAATTTGCAGGTAACCTTTACAGAAGGAGTGCAAACAAACAAAATGATTGTTTCTCCATTGTTGTGTTTTATCCTCCACGAACCATTGTCCTTTTGAATAATTGGGACCGGTGAAATTTGCCTGTTTTATTTTTTCCTTGGTCAGCAGCTACTAGTTTTGTCCCCAAGATCAATTGCCTTGGTAACAAAACCAGATAGGGGGAGGAAAGGGAGGCAGAGGAGGGAGGTAAGCGAGAAGAAGGGAGAGAGACCTAGTCAGAAAGGAGGAGAGAGAGAGCTTTGTGCCCACAATGGCGACTGTAGGTATGCTAAATACCTCTGGTTCCTTATCCGGGAACTACCTCTCACGCTGCCATTGGGCCACTGGGTCACGTGGTTAAAGTAACTTTACAGGGCTGCTCGCAAGTAGGAGGGCTTTATGGAGCAGAAAAACGACAAAGCTAGAAAAATTATTTTCCACTCCAGAAATTAATGATCATGAGCTCGTATTTGATGGAGTCTAACTACATTGATCCGAAATTTCCTCCATGCGAGGAATATTCGCAAAACAACTACATCCCCGAGCACAGTCCAGAATATTACAGCCGCGCGAGGGACACTGGCTACCAGCATCACCACCAGGAGTTATATCCTCCGCGGGCGAGCTACCAAGAGCGCCCGTATAACTGTGCAAGCATCCCCGAACCCGACACGCCGAGGGGACACGGAATACCCCACTCTGCGCACCTGCTGACAGGGAAGGGACAACCTGCATCATGTGAAACCCCGCAGTTGTCCATGTCTCCCGCCACCCCACCGGCCGCAGCCTCCGCCTGCAACCAAGCCACCCCGGAGCATCCCAACAGCACAGCCTCCTCCAAACAGCCCGTGGTGTACCCGTGGATGAAGAAAATTCACGTCAGCACTGGTAGGCAACTTGTGTGTTTATGTTCTCTGCACTCCTCGTGCGCCTCTCTCCCTCTGCCTCCCTTTATCAGCCCCTCTGACTCCCATCTCGTTGCCAGCCCCTGCTCCGATAGCAGGGAAGCCTTTGAAATGGCACAATTGAGGCGGATTTACGACTCGGCATTGGTAATTACACCCACCATAAATTTTATAGCCGAGGTATACTCAGGGCAGCCGTATCACCATGTGGCTTCTGCTGTTATGTATTGCGCGGTAGAGAGAGAGAGAGGGGGGGAATGAATAAGAAAGGGGAGAAGGAAAAAAAAAAACTGAGCTTTGTGATCTAGCATTAATAATTTAAACCATGGTTGGATGTGAGTGTCCTCACATTACGCTAAGAAGTTCTTAACTTCCCATTTAAATTTCTCCAACAGCTAAACATTCATGTCCAATAAATCTTTCTAGCCATATCTCAGTTGAGGCCATTCTTGTTTACCCCTCCTTTTTCTTCCTGCCTTCTCTGTCTCCCTTCCTCTCCTCTTTTTCTTTCCCAGTGAACTCTGGTTACAATGGGACGGAGCCAAAGCGGTCTAGGACAGCATACACCCGGCAGCAGGTCTTAGAATTGGAGAAGGAATTCCACTATAACCGCTATTTAACCCGGCGGAGGCGCATCGAGATCGCGCACACCCTGGTGCTCTCCGAGCGACAGATTAAAATCTGGTTTCAGAACCGCAGGATGAAATGGAAAAAGGACCACAGGCTCCCGAACACCAAAGTGAGATCCTCGTCCTCCTCCGGGTCCAACACAAGCTCAGCAGCCGGCGGAGTCGCCGCTGCTTCGGCCACTAACACTGGGGCCCCCGACGAACTGACCGGAGCGCAGCATGGCGAGGATATTACCAGGTTATAAAACAAACAGCAACCATAAACCCACGCCTGGGCTACACGACGAACTGCTTATTTATAGAACAATTATATATTTTGTTTTCGTAGCTATCTTGTGCGGTTTCCTTTAAGTCCAAAGTTATATAAAATGCATGTTATATAGCATGGATTACTGCGAATACCGATGGATTATTTTTTACGTGACACAGGGTTTAATTTATTTGAATTTTGTTTATCATGATGTTTTTTAATTATAAAAAAAATGTTTTGAATGAAGAAGGAAAAGTAGAAAAAAAAATAATATACGTTTTATCCAAATGTTATTGTGGGCCATTCTTTTTTGCCCAGATGCCCAAGGTACAATGCACAATCTATTTATTTCAAACAACACTGGAAGGATATCATTAAAATAATTATTTTTGGTATAGAAGAAGAAGAAGACGAAAACTTGAACATTGATTCTGAACATGTATGTTTAGGAGAACAATGTGTGAATTACCTCGTGTATTTCAAGAAACAGGATTTTATTTGAAATCTGCAGCTAGTTCTTTTTCTGTGGTGTTGGTGTTGTGTTTAGAGACCGTTGAAAAGCAGATTATTGTGAAATGCAATAAACGGAGTTTTAGTGTACTTGTGCTCATCAAAATGGTCAATAAAACAGTGAGTGTTTTACATATGGTGGAAGTTCGTTTTAGGTGAGATGAGGTTTTCTGTTTCTGTAGAGTGGAAGATGTGCAAAAATTCTGACTTATTGAACATTTCACTATGGAAAAACTGGTTATCAATCATGCAGCTGGTTTTTAGTTTTGTTCTTTTGGAGACTTTAAATTGTGTACAGAAATGGTGTGCGTGCCTTAATGTGTGTGTAGATGAGTGTGCTTGTGTAAAAGACTCACTTACAATGGACTAAAGTTATTTCCGTTATATATATATAT